TGATCAAGGCATAATGGTTATTGAATAAGTTAAAGTATTTTAGTAAAGACAAATTCCTAAATTTTAACCAAAAGTATGGCAAAAACATAGTTTTATTTTCAAACTTAAAACAACAACAAAAAAACTAATGAGTGATCAATCAGTAACAGAACTGTCAGGTGTATTATACAATTTTACTTTTCTGTGAAATTTTATAAATTGGGAGTATTTATCAAATCTTCCCCACTGCCTATTGGCATTATCAATATACGGAAAACTATTAAGTTCATTGTTTAACTTAGTTTGGGGAAGAAAATTTGTTTTTTTGATTGTTGTTGTTTATGGTCCAGTTTCAATTTCATATTCTAGAATATAAAAAAGATCATTTTGGTATTTGTCAGAACAGTTTCTCGTTCTTAGAAATAAAAATTATTAGCTCATAGGAAGAAAATACTCTGAGATTCAGCTTTAAAATATTTTTTGTTAATGAGATACTAACATAGACAAAAGAGATTGATTGATGTCATTATGTAATAATTTAAAATAAAAGTTCACCATTGACTTAGCTTTCAGAAACAGTTTGTAGTTTTGGTTCAGAGGGAGTGTTTTTAGGGTCAGATTTCTTTACCCTTAAAATCTGGGCCACTGAAAAATTTTAATCTATTTAAACTTTTTAAACTGAAAATAATTTAACAAAGATAAGAATAATGGACTTCTAAGTAGTTCAAAAGGCTAGATACCAATTATTTCTCAGAAAGTTAATATAATTAAAAGCCTAGACTGACTTCTATTAAACACTTGATTACATAGTCCTTGCACATACACTATCTCAGTTAATCTCTTTTTTAAATTTAGACTTTATGTTTTTAGAGGAGTTTTAGGTTCACAACAAAATTAAGGGGAAAGTATAGAAATTACCCTTATATGCCCTACCAAAACATGCACAGCCTCCCTCATTATCAACATTTTCCACCAGAGTGGTACATTTGTTACAATTGATGAATCTACACAGACACATCATAATCACCCAAAGTCCATAGTTTTCATTAGGGTTCACTCTTGGTGTTGTACACTCCATGAATCTGAACAAATGCATAATGATATGTATCTATCATTATGATATCATACAGAGTAGTTTCACTACTCTGAAAAGCCTTTGTGCTTTGCTTATTTCTCTCTCCCCCACTCCTCTAATCCCTTGGCAACCATGGATCTTTTTATTGTCTCCAGTTTTGCCTTTTCCAGAATGTCACATAGTTGGAATCATAGAATATGTAACCTTTTCAGATGGGCTTCTTTCACTTAGTAATATGCCTTTAAGTTTCCTCCATATCTTTTCATGAATTGATACCTTATTTCTTTTTAACACTGAATAATATTCTGTTCTCTGGATGTACCACAGTTTATTTATCCATTCATCCACTGAAGGGCATCTTGGTTACTCCCAAGTATTGGCAATTTTGAATAAAGCTGCTATAAACATCCATGTGCAGGCATTTGGTACACAGAAGTTTTCAGCTTCTTTGTGTAAATACCAAGGAGTGTGACTGTTGGATCTATGTATGTTAAGAGTATGTTTAGTTTTGTAAGACACTGCCAAACTGTCTTCCAAAGTGACAGTGCCATTTTGCTCTCCCACCAACACAGCTGAAAGTTCCTGCTGCTCCGCATCCTTGCCAGCATTTGGCATTGTCAGTATTCCAGATTTTGGCCATTCTAGTAAGTGTGTTGTGATATCTTGTCATTTTAATTTTCATTTTTTTGATGACATATGATTTGGAGCATCTTTTCATACACTTATTTGTCACCCCTATATCTTCTTTGCTGAGAAGCTATATTAAGGTCTTTCACCCATTTTTATTTGTATTATTTGTTTTCTTATTGTTGAATTTTAAAAATTCTTTGTACATTTTAGGTGAGTTCTTTGTTAGATCCTTCTTTTGAAAATATTTTCTCTCAGTCTGTTCTTGTCTTCTCATTCTCTTAAAATTATATTTTATAGAGCAAAAGTTTTTAATTTTAATGAAGTTCCTATTATGAATTCTTTCTTTTATGGTTTGTGCCTTTTGGCATATTGTATCTCAAAAATTATCACCAATCTCAAGATCATCTAGGTTTGCTTCTATGTTATCATCCAGGAATTTTATAGTTTTGTGTTTTACATTTACGTCTGTGATACATTTTGAGTTCAGTTTTGCAAAGGATATAAGGTCTGGATCTAGATTTATTTTATTTTATTTTTTTACCATGCTGATGTTCAGTTATTCCAGCAGCATTTGTTGAAAATATTATCTTTTCCCCATTGTACTGCCTTCTTTGTCAAAGATCAATTGACTATATTTATGTGGATCTGGTTCTGAGCTCTCTATTCTGTTCCATTGATCTATTTGTCTTTTCTTATGCCAAAACCATTCTGTCGTGGTTACTATAGCTGTATAGTAAGTCTCGAAGTTGGGTAGAGTCAGTCTTCCAACTTTGTCCCTGTTTGTCGATATTATGTAAGCTCATTTAGGTCTTTTGCCTCTTTGTATAAACTTTAGAATCAGTTTGTTGATAACCACAAAAGAACTTGTTGGGATTTTCATTGGAATTTCATAGAATCTTTGGATTATTTTAGGAAAAACTGAGATCTTGACAACATTGAGTCTTTTTGTTCATGAACATGGAATTTGTTTAGTTCTTGATTTCCTTAATTGAAGTTTTGTAGTTTTTCTCATATAGATCTTATACATATTTTGTTAGGTTTATACGTAAGTATTTCATTTTTTTGGATGCTAAAGTAAAGAGTTATTGTGTTTTTAATTTCAAATTCCACTTGTTCATTGTTGGTATATAGGAAAGCAATTGACATTTGTATATTAGCCTTGTAGCCTACAATTTTGCTATAATCACTTATTAGTTCCAGGAGTTGTTTTTAATCAGTTCTTTCAGATTTTCTGCACAGATGATCATACAATCTATGAACAAACACAGTTTTATTTCTTCCTTCCCAATCTTTATACCTCTTTTCTTTTTTTAAAACCTTACTGCATTAGGTAGGGCTTCCAATATGATATTGAAAAGCAATGGTGAGAAGGGACATCCTTGTCTTGTACCTGATCTTAGTAGGAAAGCTTCAAATTTCTCACCATTAAGCATCATAATAGCTGTATGTTTTTTGCAGATATTCTTTATCAAGTTCAGAAAATTTCCTTCTAGTCTTAGTTTACTGAGAATTTTATCATGAATAGGTATTGAATTTTGTCAAATACTTTCTCTGCATCTATTGATATGTCAGTTAATTTTCACAACAATTTTCTTGCAACTGATTTCCATGTTTATTTCACAGATGGGGAAATTAAGGCTCAGCAGTGAAGTAACTTTTCAATAGTTCCCACAATTACTGGTGGAATCAGAATTAAAACTGCAATTCTTTTACCTGCTCTACAATATGCTGCCTCTCAGCTCTATCAATCATGACTCTTTGGCTCTATGGTAGTAGGAAAAGTAGATTCTCTCATTGTGAATCTCAACAAACTAAACAGTCTATCAATATTGTAATAACTATATATAGTAGCAGGTGGGCACTAGAGTAATCGGGGGGAGGGGATCACTTCGTAAATTATTTATATAAATGTCTAACCACTATGCCATACACCTGAAACTAATGTAAAATAATATTGAATGTCAATTCTAATTAAAAAATTAAAATTTAAAAAATTAAGATATGTACTTATTTGAACTACAGATGATTATCATTATTCATGAATTCTGTTTTTATAAATTTGCCCACTTGCTAAAATTTATTCATACCCCCCAGATCAATACTTAAGGATCTTTTATGATCATTCACGGACATATACATATAAGGTGGCAAAAAATTTCAGTCTTCCAATGTGCATATTTCAGGCTGAGGTCAAACAGGGTGACCCGCTGCCTTCTTATTCGTGCTCTCTTATTATAAACAAGTATCTTATTTGTGGTTTCCTCAAAGCTTTTTGCATTTTGTGCTTTTTGCATTTTGTGCTTTTTGTTAATGATTTTACTCTTTAAAAAGGCCCCAAAAGAAGCGGTAAAGTTCTGCCTAGTGTTTCTAAGTGCAAGGAAGCTGTGATGTGTCTTCTGGAGAAAATACATGTGTTAGATAAAGTCTATTCAATTATGAGTTACAGTGCTACTGGCCATGGATTCAATGCTAATGAATTAACAATATATATTAAGTAAGATGTCTTTCAACATTAAACAAAATGATGAACTGATCAGTTGATGAAAATACTGTGATCGGAGGCTCAAAGAACCCTAACCCTTTATTTCCCCTAGGAGCAATGGCTCAGTGTCTGCTAATTTAGTGTTTGTAGAGACTTTATAGAATGTACCTACCATGAATAATAAAACACAACTGTATGTGGTTTCACTGGTCTTTGTGTATATTTACAGGAGGGAACTTCCTGCCCTTGGATTAAAGTTTCACTGTGGTGCAATTTTACTTGATGTGTTAAGCTTTCTTCAGGGATTCACCTACTTTCTGTATACCACTGTATTAACTTACTATTGATGTTATAGCAAATTACCACAAACTTAGTAGTTTAAAACATACAACTTTATTGCTTTACAATTCCAGAAGTTAAAAGTTCCAAAATGTGTTTTATAGGGCTAAAATCAAGGCAGTGTCAGAATCGTCTTCATTCTGGAGGTTCTAGGGGAGAAACTAGCCTTTTCGACTTCTTGAAGCTGTCTGCATTCCTTGACGAATAGTCTTGCATCACTCTGACCTCGGCTTCTATCATCATATTAAATCTCTGACTCTCTTGCTTTCCTCTTCCAGTTATAAGGACATTTGTTATTGACAATGTCAGCTCATAACCTTATCAATTATTTGTTCCCCAGCCCAATTTCATTTACGTATAGTACTGTTATAAGGCAAAAGATGTTTTTCTTTACACTGTGGAAGAATTATTGATTAGATCCATCTTTGGAGATAGCACGGTGTTCTGATACTAATGATACTTTCACTGTTGTCTTGTTTTTATTCCTGTTTGTAGCCCCTAGAGCCAAGTCAAACCATTTGCATGTCCAGAGAAGAGTTTATGCAAAGGATGCCAGAAATTGTTGGTTGGGGCACAAAGGAAGAGTATGGGAAGCTCTTTGACAAAGTGGATGTGGTCCAAGATGGATTCATTAATTGGGACAAGCTGACTTCATTTATGCTGTTAGCACTTTATGAGAATGATGAACGAGCAAAGGCGACCGTCGTTCCCCAGTGGAAAGAACTTGAATTCCTCCCAGTGAAACACAAGGACACCATTCAAAAAGTAATTTTCTTAAAAAGTTCGAGTCGTTATCTGACCATCAGTAAGGAAGGTTTATTAGGAATCTGGGGAGAGAATTTAAAACTGCAAGAAACACTTCCCATCACTTCAGATGCCATCAAGCTTAAACACCTGTGGGTGACAAGTCTGGTTTCTCTGGAAAATGTAAACAAGGTACAAAGTTTTGATAAATAAATTTACTGTTTGTAAAAAGGGAAAAATGATGGGACAGGGCTTTCGATCAATATCAGCTATAACACTAGTAGTGACAGAAAACTGCATTATTCTTCTGTGCCTCTCACCTGACCTGGAGGGAATGCAAGTAGAGCCAAGGGAGCTACTTGATTTACTAAGCCATTCTCTTGTGTGCCTTTAAACTACATGGCTGATACTGACTCAGAGTCTTGGTTCTGTTCCAAATGTGGCCATGCTGCATTACTAGCTAATAAGACCTTTACGATTGTATAGTTTACAGCAGAATCATGAATCTAAATGCAGATTTGAGAGGCTCTAATAGTACAAGGAACAACTGAGTGCCATTACAGAGAATTACTTCTTTGATTTTGATGATTTTGACCACTGTGCTAATCGGTTTCTTAATTCTGATGTGTAGATCCCACTCAGATCAAATAGCCTTATATAACTATACCTATGAGCAAAATAACATACTGAAAGAAAAATCGGTTTTGTGGGGGAAGGATGCAGCTTAAAGAATGCATATTTTTAATATCTTATATTAACCAGTGGTAAATTTCACTTTGAAAATTTTAAGCACACACACAAGCAGAGATAATAGTATTAAGAACCTATATCTACCCTCAACCATTTTCCAATTCACAGCCAATCTTGTTTCGTCCACATCACCCCTCTATTGAAATTCAAAATATCCATTTAATCTGTAAATATTTGGTATTTTCAAAATATGTCTTTTTTTAGTATAATCACTATAATGCCATTATCCCATTTAATATAAATAGCAATGATTCCTTAATTTCATCAAATATCCAGCCATGTACATATTTCCTTGTCTTATGATTTTTAATAGCTTATTGTTTATTTGATAGTTTGTTTGAACCAAGATCTGAGTAAAAAGTCCAATCATTGTGAATAGTTGATGTGTCTCTTTTGAGCTACATATTTTTCTCCATCTCTTACTTATTCTTGCATTTTTTTGTTGTTGCAGTTGATGTTTTTATTAGAGTCTAGGTGTTTGTCCTTTAGACTCTCCCACAGTCTAGATTTTCCAGATTGTATTTACATGGGGTTGTTTAACATGTCCACTTGTTCTCTGTATCTCCAGTAAATTGGTAGCCAAGTCTTAAGCCTTGATATAGGTGTTTCTCAATCAAGAGGCACAAAATGCTAGTTCTCTCTCTTTTTGGGATGTTAGCAATTATTGCTGATTACTCCTAGATTCATCAATTTATTCAGGGTTGCAAGATGATGACATTTTAATTTCATCACTTCCTCTTCCTTTATAAGCTGGAATACCTCTATGAAAAGAAATTCCCTTTGTCAATTATTTACCTATTATGTAGTACAAATTGTAAAATAAAGGCAGAATAAATGACTAATTTTTTACTTCTATTTACCAGTATCCAAAATTATGAGCTGGTTTTTTAATATCCTCTAAAGAGACAAAATGAGTTCTATGATCATTAATGTTATCAATATGATTACAAACTCATGGGTTTAAACAATTGTGTTAATCCACTGAGTTATTATCCCAACCCCCAAATTGTACTATCTTCGGACAATGAAACTAATGTAAGTCAGATTCTGAGTCTTTTTTGATATAACACTAACAGTCTTTGAAATCTTTGCTTCCTGGTATGACAAGATCTTCCAGGAACATCTTGTATATTTATTATGCTAGAATAAATCAGCCATTTCTCCAAAGAGCCAGTTTCTTTTTAGTGGGAAATAGCATGCTCTACTACCTGGAACCATAAAGAATAATCATCATCATCATTAGCCTCCAATGTGACAGGCCCTTCTCTATTAATCTTCTCAAGATCACCATGAAGTGGATATTATTTTCACTTTAAGAATTAGAGATTGAACAAGGAGAGGTTGCGAAATTTGCCCCATGTCACACAGGATGTAATTAGTGTTGCAAGATTTGTAAATGGAAGTAGCCTGATTTCAGAACCTGTGCTTGTCTTTGCTGTGTCCATAGTGGTTGCTACATCATAGTCATATCCAGTTTCTTCTTGCAAAGGGTCTGGTGCTAATGCTTAACTGGTATGAGTTACAAGATAGTTCTAGTCCAGATTTTTTAAATATCTGTGTACAGTATTCTCTTATTATCATGTAATGTCTGTATTGCTATGTTATATATTGATTGTGTTGTGCTGTTTCTTCTTTCCAGGACTGATAACTAAATCTTAGACTTTGTACTTACCAACATAGAAGCTAAAGGAATGTTGCTTTTTCTTCTTTTTAAAAATAGCTTTATTGAATTATAATTACACAATATAAACTGCACATACTAAAGTATCTGAATTAATGGATTTTAATACATTTATATACCTGTGAAAAACCAACAGTACAATGAAGATAATGAACATTTTCATCACCCTCAAAAGTTTCCTTGTGCCCTTTTGTAATCCTCCCTCTAGCCCGCTCCCCTCTTTCTTTGTCAGGTAATGACTAATATGCTCTCTGTTACTGTAGATTAGTTTGCATTTTCTAGGCGTTTGCATAATTGACATCATACAGTGTGTACTCCTTTTTTTTTCTGACTTCTTTTACTTAGCATAATTATTTTGAAATATGTCCATGTAGTTAGATATATCAGTAGCTTATCTTTTTTGTCGTGTAATATTCCATTGTATGAATATAGCACATCCTTACCAATACTTGCTATGGTCAGGTTTTTTGTTCTCTTAATTTGAGTCATCTTAATAGGTTTGTATTTTATCATATTGTGGTTTTAATTCACATTTCCCTACTGACTAATAATATTGAGCTTATTTTCATGTATTGATTTGCTACCTGTATATCCTCTTTGGTGAATTGTCTGTTCAAATTTTTTTGCCAATTTTTTATTGAGTTTATTTCATTATTTATTATTGAGTTTTGAGAGTTCTTTATATATTCTAGGTATCTGCATTTATCAAATGGATACTTTACGAATATTATACCCCAGTCCATGTTTTGTCTTTTCATTCTTACAATACTGCCTTTGGTAATTTTATTTTCAGATTGTTTATTGCTAGGGTATAAGATACAATAGATTTTTTAAAAATGATCTTATATCCTGTAACTTTGCTGAACTCATTTGTTAGTTCTAATCTTTATTGTTGTTAGTTGTTGCTTCTTTAGGATTTCCTATGTATAATGTCGTGCCATCTCCTAAAAGAGATAGTTTCATTTCTTCTTATCCAGTCTGGATGCTTTTATTTCTTGTCCTTGCCTAATATCCCTGGCTAGAAATTCTAGTACAGTGTTGAGTAGATGTGAGAAAAGTGAACATCCTCATCTTGTTCCTGATCTTAGAGAGAATATATTCAGTTTTTCACCATTAAGTATGGTATCAGCTGTGGGTTTTCTTTTACATGCTCTTTATCTGGTTGAAGAGGTTCTCTTGTATTCCTGGTTTGTTGAGTATTGTTATCATGAAAATGTGTTTGATTTTGTCAAACTTTTTTATATCTATTGAGATAATCATATGGTTTTTGTTGCTTATTCTATTAATATGGTATACTACATTGATTGTACCTGTTAAATTAACCTTGCGTTCCTGCTAGAAACATTACTTGGTCATGATATGTAATCTTTTAAATATGTTGTTGGATTCCTTTTGCTAGATTTAATTGAAGATTCTTAAATCTATATTCATTAGAGATATTGATCTGCAGGGTTTTTTTTTTTTGTGTGTGATATCTTTGTGTGGTTTGGTATCAAGATGACACTAGCTTCAAAAAATGATTTGGGAAGTGATCCTTCCACTTCTGTTTTTGGAAGAATTTGAGAAGGATTGGTGGCAATTCTTTAAATGTTTTTTCAAATTTATTAGTGAAGCCATCTGGGCCTGGGATTTTCTTTTTGCGAACTTTTTGGATTTCTAATTCAGTCTCTACTCTGCTGAGTTTTTCTATACCTTCTTTAGTCAGTTTAGGTAATTTTTGTGTTTCTAGAAATTTGTTCATTTCATCTAAGTTGTCTAATTTGTTGACATATAATTGTTCTTGGTATTCTCATAATCCATTTTTATTTCTATGAAATTGGCAGTAATATTTACTCTGTTATTTATGATTTTAGTAATGTATATCTTTTCTCTTTTTTGGGTTAGTCAGCGTAAGTTTTGTCAATTTTATTGACAAATTTATTTACACTTTTAAAAATAGATTTTAAGATTTTATCTGACTTAAGAAGGCTACTTACCAAGTTTTTAATCAGTTGATTTCTGTGAAAGCTTCTGCTTGCTTCATAAATCATGGTTTGTAAAGTTTCTGGTATAACTATGAGATGTTGTAGCTCTCTGAGTCTTTGTTTTTCCTTTGTGATTAGTTATTTAGTCTCCCATGGATGGAATAAGTTGGCAAGTATATGAAGTAAAGATAGGGGAAAAAGCATGTTCAAATGACTTTAATGATAAATATTTTTTCTTGGTTAGAGTCCAAAGTTAGAATAAAGCACGTCTATGCCATTATGCTATACTTCTGTAATACTCTTAAGAACCCTCAAGGAAAAATGTTTGATTCGGTGCTAAGATTTGCATGTCTTCTTTGCATATTGATTTCACTAAATCCATCAGAAAAGCTTTCTGATTTTCTATTTTAGATAGCGGTGGCTTTTACAAGTAAAGAGATTTGTTTCTATGATTTGCTATCTAAAGAATTTCCTTGTCAATATAAACTCCAAGGCCTGAAAGGAACACCAATTTGCCTGGATTATTGGTATGACCCTCTAGATGCCAATGAATCAATTCTTTCCTTTGGGGACATAACTGGAAAGGTAAGTAAGCGAATAACAAGATCGAACATTCAATCATCAAACGGTAATTCAGTATAAAAATATAATGCAATTGCTTATGAAAACCAATCTTTCTTGTGGATTTTCTTGCCTAAGTATAGTCTCATTTTTCTTATTTAGAAAAAAATTGCGAACTTTTTTTTTTACCATAGGATACTTATAACCTATTAGATCTCAATATTAATAAACATTAAATATTAAATGCCTAAAATGATCTCTCATAACCCTTTCAAATTATTCTGATTTTCATTCATAAGGGTTCAGGCTTCTCAGTACCAGCCTCCTGGAAAGTGATTATTTCCTCTATCATGTAACAAAGGATAAAGCCATTAGAAAGGGCAGCACAGACACTCAGACATGCAATGATTTCTGTTTTCCTATCAAATTTCGCTCGACTTCTGAAAAAGTATTACTCACTGAATGACACTAGAATATGCCTATGAATTTTGAAGTAGTCCAGTTTGAACAATATCCTTTTGTAATTGTGAAGGCTTTTCATTCTTAACTGTTTTTAATAAGTGTATCATAAAAGCAAACAAATCGCCCTTAGTAATTTCCTTACCAACATTGTAGTTGTTCTGTCTTTTAATATAACTGCTTACATCCTTTAACTAATGTTGAATAACTTTCTATTAATTCAATATCAATTTTTTATTAATCTTAGAACATGGTCTCCTGGCAACAATTTCTCTGCCCATGCTTGTTTTTCTTTCAATGCTTCTCTCAAGGTTCAAGCAATTGCTTTTACGACAGCCTTGATTTCCCTGTTTGAGCGTCCTGCTAGTGCCTGTGAAGATGAAGAAGCCACAGTGACCATTAATTGGGCAGAACTGCTCTCTGGATATCACAAATGTTGTTATACATTAGAGCACAAACTTCATCATGGCGACTGGGTCAGGCAAGGTACTGAATTTTAACAGTAATGAATGAAATGGTCACCTTCAACTTCTACATTTATATTCTAGATGAAAATGTTTCACACATAGTGTTCAAGTCTAGAAGCCAGTAATTGATTCTCTGGAGGATTTGTGCTGGATTCTC